CCCAAGGACTCGAGGAGCAGATTTGGAAAGCTTGTTTTGTAATTCTGTGTTTTCCTAGGGTCCTGGAATCCCAAAAAAATCCCAATAAATCCCAAAAAAATCCCAATAAAATCCCAATAAATCCCAATAAAATCCCAATAAATCCCAATAAATCCCAATAAATCCCAATAAATAAAAAAAAAATCCAAATAAATCCCAATAAATAAAAAAAAATCCCAATAAATAATAAAAAAAATCCCAATAAATCCCAATAAATCCCAATAAATCCCAATAAGTCCAAAAAAAATCCCAATAAATCCCAATAAATCCCAATAAATCCCAATCAATCCAAATCAATCCCAATCAATCCCAATAAATCCCAATAAATAAATAAATAAATCCAAAAAAATCCCAATAAATCCAAATCAATCCCAATCAATCCCAATCAATCCCAATAAATCCCAATAAATAAATAAAAAAATCTAAAATATCCCAATAAATCCCAATAAATAAAAAAAAAACCCCAATAAATCCCAATAAATCCCAATCAATCCCAATAAATTCCAATAAATCCAAATAAATCCCAATAAATAAAAAAAAATCCAAAAAAATACCAATAAATCCCAATAAATAAAAAAAAAATCCCAATAAATCCCAATAAATCCCAATCAATCCCAATAAATCCCAATAAAAATGATGCTTGGAGGCCCAACCTGGCTCCAAAGAACCATCCTGGATCCCAAGGTGCCGCTCCCTGCCTTCCTCTGCTGGTGGCCCAACTTTTCCATGGCTCAAATTCCAGAACCAGGGAAGAAATCAGCTGGAAAAATCAAGGGATAGAGTGAAAAAAAAACTCAAGGTGAAGTTAAAAAATGAAAGATAAAGTTGAAAAAAAAAATGAAGGATAAAGTTAAAAAAAATGAATGAGAAAGTTAAAAAAAATGAGGCTGAAGCTAAAAAAAAAATTAAAATTTAAGGATATTTTAATATAGGATGGATATTTTAATATAGGATGGATATTTTAATACAGGATAGATATTTTAATATAGGATGGATATTTTAATACAGGATGAATATTTTAATATAGGATGGATATTTTAATATAGGATGGATATTTTAATATAGGATAGATATTTTAATACAGGATGGATATTTTAATACAGGATGGATATTTTAATATAGGATAAATATTTTAATACAGGATGGATATTTTAATATAGGATGGATATTTTAATACAGGATGGATATTTTAATATAGGATGGATATTTTAATACAGGATATTTAAATATTTTAATTAAGGATAAATTACACAATTTAACTGCAGATTAAATGAAATAAAATCATTAAAGTGGCTTTAAAAAACATCTTTAATGCCTGGATTTCCTGAGGAATCCGGGGTTGGAGACACAAAGCGGACGGCAGCAGGCTGGGATCCCTCAAGGCCAGCCTTGCACAGATTATTCCATGGATTATCCCAAGGATGGGCCGCATTCCCGGGGATTCCTGGATCTATTTCTGCTCCTTGCACGGCTCCGGGTGTTGATCGCGGACGCTCCTGTCCGTTATTGATGGCAGCAGCTCGGAGCGGATCCCGTGGGAATCCGTTTGTTGGGATTGTGCTTTAGCCACGGATGGAGCCGGGATTTGGATGGGATTGGGGAATTCTGGGGGTGGAGGAGCCCGAAGGGTGAGAAATCCCAGGGATGGGATGGATCCCGTCCTTCCCAGCCTCTCCAGGAAGGGAGTGGGGTGGGAATGGGGGAATGTGGGAATGTGGGGATGATGCGGGAATGTGGGAATCTGGGAATGGGGAAATCTGGGAATGGGGGAATGTGGGAATGGGGGAATGGGGGAATGGTGGGAATTCGGGAATTCGGGAATGCAGGAATGTGGGAATGTGGGAATGAAGGAATGCAGGAATGTGGGAATGCAGGGATGGTGGGAATGGTGGGAATGCAGGAATGGTGGGAATTCGGGAATTCGGGAATGTGGGAATGCGGGAATGTGGGAATGAGGGAATTTGGGAATGTGGGAATGTGGGAATGCAGGGATGGTGGGAATGAGGGAATTTGGGAATGCAGGAATTTGGGAATGCAGGAATGCGGGAATGAGGGAATTTGGGAATGAGGGAATTTGGGAATGCAGGAATGCGGGAATGAGGGAATTTGGGAATGCAGGAATGAGGGAATTTGGGAATGCAGGGATGGTGGGAATGGTGGGAATGAGGGAATTTGGGAATGCTGCCAGAGCCAGCCAGCTCCAAGCCATTCCCGGGAATATCCATGGCGCGCTCCCAGCCCGGCCGGGTCGCTGTGAGCCCGCAGGAAGCCGCCGCATTTTTTCCTTCAGTACTCACGGCGTTTTCCAGCCGGGATAATGAAGGTTCCGAGCTCTGGATGGAGCTGGTCTGGAACAATGAGCTCCTCTCCCTGCAGCAGCCAGCGGGAGCTCAGACACGCGAGGAAACCGGGAATGATGAACTGGAATTGTGCTGGAAAACCGGGGAAGGCTGAGGGATGTTTTGTCTGTGAGAGATGCAAAGCCATGAAGGCATTGCTGGGAATTGTTGGGACATTAATACTCAGAATATTCAGCTTTTCCCACTAAAAGCCCTTTGGCTGTGCCATTCCTTTTTTATTTATTTTTTTTTTTTTTTGGGAAAGGGATTTTCTCCTGAAAAACACCTCCCATAATGACAATAACACAGATTTACTGCTCCGTGTTCCCAAAACACTCGGGGATGGCAGAGCTTAAAAACAAAAAAAAACTCTTGGAAGCAGCCTGGCTTTTCCCTTTTCCATTAAACCACGCATCCCGCTGTGCTCACAGCTCCCGAATTTTGGAGTGCAGGGGGCTGCAGGGAGGGAGTAAACAGGAATTTTACAGGAATTGGCTCTGGAGGGCAGGACTGGAAGTGCTCCGGGCTCTGAGATCACGGTGGAGGTGGGCAGCCAGCACGTCCACGCTCTAATAGCTCTGGGAGCTCTCTGAGGGAGCATTCAGCTGCCTTTGAACGCATTCCCAAGGATTGGGAGCTCCAAAGGAACTCCTGGCGCTGAGCCCTGCATGGGCAGAGCCCTGCAGCTCAGGGAGCTGGAGCTGCTGGAGCTGCCCCGGCCCCGGGGGGTCTGGGGCTGCACAGGAATTCACGGTTTGGGGAGGGGGAAATGGCATTTCTGGGATCCTGAGGGTTTGGTGTCCTTGGGTTGGTGACACCTGGCATGGATGGGACACCAGGGACAGTTTGGGGACATCCAGGACAGAGTTTGGGGACATTCAGGACAGAGCCTGGGACATCCAGGACAGCCTGGGACATCCAGGACAGCTTGGAGACATCCAGGACAGAGTTTGGGGACATCCAGGACAGAGCCTGGGACATCCAGGACAGCCTGGGGACATCCAGGACAGAGTTTGGGGACATCCAGGACAGTTTGGGGACATCCAGGACAGAGTTTGGGGACATCCGGAAAGCCTGGGGACATCCAGGACAGCTTGGGGACATCCAGGACAGAGCCTGGGACACCCAGGACAGCCTGGGGACATCCAGGACAGAGCCTGGGGACATCCAGGACAGCTTGGAGACATCCAGGACAGAGTTTGGGGACATTCAGGACAGCCTGGGACATCCAGAACAGTTTGGGGACATCCAGGACAGACTGGGGACATCAGGAACAGTTTGGGGACACCCAGGACAGAGTTTGGGGACATCAGGGACAGTCTGGGGACATCCAGGACAGCCTGGGACATCCAGGACAGTTTGGGGACATCCGGGACAGTCTGGGGACATCCAGGACAGCTTGGGGACATCCAGGACAGTTTGGGGACATCAGGGACAGCCTGGGGACATCCAGGACAGCTTGGAGACATCCAGGACAGAGCCTGGGACATCCAGGACACTTTGGGGACATCAGGAACAGTTTGGGGACATCAGGGACAGCCTGGGGACATCAGGGACAGCCTGGGGACATCAGGGACAGCTCCTGTGGCTCCATCCCAAGGACACAATCCCCCCAGTAAGAGGGACAGGGAGTGTGGCAGATCCAGGCAAGGGGAAATGCTCTGTTTGGAACTGCAGATCCCAGGGGATGGAGCTGAGCACATCCCCCAGGGAAACCCGGGATTCCAGCCCTGAAAAGTGGGAGCTGGGAGCCGCCTTTCCCAGGAATTGTGGCCCCCAGAGCTGCCCTTTCCTGGGCATCCCAAGGGAATTCCTGGAGATTTTTCCAGGGCTTTTCTTAAGGAAACCTGCCCAAAATATCCTGAACACACAGTAAAAAAAAAAGCCTCTAATTAATTAATTAATCAAAATTAGTTTTGATTTTCCTTCTCACTGACCACAAGGAAACCTGCCCAGATCTCCTGAACACACAGCAAAAAACAGCCTGTAATTAATTTATTAATTCAAAATTAATTTTGATTTTCCTTCTCACTGACCACAAGAAAACCTGCCCAAATCTCCCTGAACACACAGCAAAAAACAACTTTTAATTAATTCATTAATTCAAAATTAATGCTGCTTTTCTTGCCTTCTCCTCTCACTGACCACAAGGAAACCTGCCCAAATCTCCTGAACACACAGCAAAAAACAACTTTTAATTAATTCAGTAATCAAAATTAATTTTGATTTTCCTTCTCCTCTCACTGACCACAAGGAAACCTGCCCAAAATCTCCTGAACACACAGCAAAAAACAACTTCTAATTAATTTATTAATTCAAAATTAATACCGCTTTTCTTGCCTTTTCCTCTCACTGACCACAAGGAAACCTGCCCAAAATCTCCTGAACACACAGCAAAAACCAGCCTCTAATTAATTCATTAATTCAAAATTAATTTTGATTTTCCTTCTCACTGACCACAAGGAAACCTGCCCAAAATCTCCTGAACACACAGCAAAAAACAACTTCTAATTAATTTATTAATTCAAAATTAATACCGATTTTCCTTCTCACTGACCACAAGGAAACCTGCCCAAAATCTCCTGAACACACAGCAAAAAACAACTTCTAATTAATTTATTAATTCAAAATTAATACCGCTTTTCTTGCCTTTTCCTCTCACTGACCACAAGGAAACCTGCCCAAATCTCCTGAACACACAGCAAAAAAAACAACTTCTAATTAATTCAGTAATCAAAATTAATTTTGATTTTCCTTCTCCTCTCACTGACCACAAGGAAACCTGCCCAAATCTCCTGAACACACAGCAAAAAACAGCCTCTAATTAATTCATTAATTCAAAATTAATTTTGATTTTCCTTCTCACTGACCACAAGAAAACCTGCCCAGATCTCCTGAACACACAGCAAAAAACAACTTCTAATTAATTCATTAATTCAAAATTAATTTTGATTTTCCTTCTCCTCTCACTGACCACAAGGAAACCTGCCCAAATCTCCTGAACACACAGCAAAAAACAGCCTCTAATTAATTAATTAATCAAAATTAATTTTGATTTTCCTTCTCCTCTCACTGACCACAACAGGGGCTGGGGTTTCCTCTCCCGATTTTCCCTTTTTCCATTTTAAAACCCCTCAGCAAATCCAGCAGGAAGAGCTCTGGGATAATTGAACAGCTGGAAAGCAGCAGAGGCAGCGATCGGGTCTTTTCAGGACACCAGGGATCAAAGAGGTGCTCTGTACAAATGATTTTGCAGCCAGTTCTTGGCAGGAGACAGAAACCTTTTCCCTGCTGGAAATGAGATTTAAGTTGTAAGGAGAGGAAGAAAAGGATCGATCGCTTTGTGTTAATTCCCTTTCTCCCAACTGGAAATATCGAGTGGGACAGAGGGAAAAAAGGGGGGGAAATAAATTGGTTATTGAATGTAATATTCTCTGTCTCGTCTCGGGAAGAGATTAAATTCACTTAAATTCACTTAGATTTGGTTTTAATAGGAGTCATTTAACACTTGTGTGAGGAAAAAGGGATTTTTTTCTTATATAGAAAAATGGGGAGAAAACCCTTTCTGAATGCCAGTGAGAATTCTCCAGGATAGGTGGGTTTGTGGGTTTTTTTTTGTTGTGGAATCGGGAGGTTTGTGAAGAGCACAAAGAAAAGAGGGATAGTGGGAATTTTCCATGTTGTCCTTTGAAGTGGTCTCGTTATCCTTAGGCAAAAATGAGAATGTTGAATAAGAAAATGGATTTATTATAAAATTCCTCCTCTTCTGGGGGTGCTGGAGCAGAGCTTTTTGCTCCATCCTTTTTACCTGTCCCCCCCTTTCCAGCTCCTGTTTCATCCCCAGCAAACCAGAAGGAAATTTCCTTCCCAAAAACTGCTTCTAATTCCTTGGACAGACCCTGGTGTGTCAGTTCCTCACCCTGTGTCCCCTTCCCAGGGATCTCCTGAGGTTTTTCAGAGGTTTTCCAGCAAGGATGGTCCTGGCTGTGACCAGGATGAACCCACAGAGATGCTATGGGCGTGGGGAAGGACAGGGAGAACTTTTTCTCTCACCAAAGGAACATTTCCTCCAATAGAAAGATAAATTTCCAGATAAAAAGAGAGAGGAATTTCCCAGATATAAAAACCTGGGGAACAGTGGGAAACACTTCCATGCAGGAGAACCTTCTCAGTCTGGAGCTGCAGCTCCACCCTGAAGTTTAATTAACAAATACCAATAAAACCAACAAATCAAACAAACAGGAAATGGAAATGTGGAAATGCTCATTTCACCCTCTCATGGCTTTTGGGACAACCACTGGCTCCCAAATCCATCTTTTTCCTGGCTGCCACCCCCTCAGCTGCCCTTACCACGCGTTTTATTTTGCACAGCTTTGAGACATTACAGATTCTTGGCCTCATCTGCAAATGGTGCTGGACATCCTCGATGAGCTCAGAGGAAAATTCAGCATCATCCAGGCTCTGGGCTTGTTTTGGGGTTTTTTGTCACTTCCAGAGGAATGGAAAAACGGCGTGAGCAGGCTCACAAGGGGTGGGAAGCTCTCCAGAAAGAAGGAGGATGGAGACTGATCCAAACCTCTGGAGTTTTCCAGAAAAAATCTCAGCGCCACAAGTCTCCCGGGAATGATCTGGCTCTGGAGAGCGCCGGCTGTGCCTTCTCCCGACCCCACCCAGAGCTGAAAAACAGCCTCAAGGGCAAACCTGCTCTTTTTCCATAATAATCTTCAGGGTCATGGGCCGTGGACAGATCCAGAGTCAGTCCTTGCTCCATCTGAACTGCTCTTCCCACCCAAAAATTGCTAGGGCACGTATTTGGCCTGATTGCCGTGGTCCCAGGTTCCTTTAATTTCAATTCCAGATGGAAAGCAGATCAATCCTCTGCCTTTCTGCAGCGTTCCCTCCATAAAATTCCAACTCCTTTTGGCCAGCACAGGGTCAGGATCTTGCAGTTCCCCTGGAGCCAGAGCACGTTGGGTGTGACATCGACAGCCGCAGAAATACCCACCAGGAGAGACAATTCCATGAGCTCTCCCTAAATTCCAGCTGCCTCCTGGACATCTTTTCAGCCTTGGAGTGCTTTCTGCACAAGCCATTCCGGCCTCCACCACTTCTTCCAGGAAAAGCTCGCACAATTCCAGGAACCCCACGCCTCAGGTGGAGAAATGGGAATGACAAAAGCAACTTTTCTGCTGGCAGGGTTGAGCATCCCGGACACAAAAGCTGCTGAGAGGGCCGAGATTTCCCAAGGAAATCAAATATCCAGGCATGGCTCGGAGAGGGGAACTTCTGGAAAAGAGGAATGAACAAGCTCAAGCCTGTAGACTCAGCAAAATCTGATCTCACAGCCTGAGCTCATTCCTGGCTCCCAACACAGCGGGAAGAGAAGTTGTTCCTGGGGAGATCCAAGTCCTAAATCTCCTCCTAAAACAGGAGCTTTTTGTCATTTCCAGCTGCAGGTGCCCCTGCCTCTGCTTGCTTTGTTGGGATTTTTCCCCAGCTGAGGTTTGTGCTGGAACAGGGAACACAAAAAAAGGACAAAACGTGTGAGGTTTTATCCAAGGCTCAGCTTTTTATGGCCAAATTGTGGGAATTCATTTAAAACTCCAGGGAAAGGGCTGATCCCACAGCTGAGGGCCTGAGGGTGATCCTGCACTTCAGCCCACGGGGGAGAGACCCCACAAAGCAGTTTCTAGATGGAATTTTTGATGTCCAGATCCACTGGAACAACATTCCTTGGTTGTTTCAGCCTTTTGGCCTCCTCAGGAGAGGAGGTGGATGCAGATTTTGGCTGGATTTGGGTTAAATCCCAGGAGAAGAGCTCGGGATCGCTCTGGGATCGCAGTCTGGGGTCACCACAATCTGTCACCAGCTCCCCCAAGATTTGGTTTCTGATCCCCAGACCGAAGAGTGAAAAGCCTGCCCAGGGTTTAAACATTTTCCTCCACTTCCTTGGAACCCTCAGGCTCGCAGAAAATTCCAGGCTTTTCATCCCCCTTTCCTCAGGGTTATTCTGATTCGGTTTTCCATCCTGACTTTCCATTTTGCTGCAGTTCCTCCCCAGCCTGGCTCCTCTTGCCCAAACTCCAACATTATTTTTCAGCTGAAATGACATCATGGCTGAAGTGCTGGTTAAAATTATTGCTCTCCAGACCTCCCTCACATCCCCTTTTGCAATCCCCTCTTCTGCTCTCATCTGGAGCCAGGAAGGGTGGCCTAAAACTGGAATGTCCTGTCCACATCCACCCCAGGACTTTTCGCTCTGCCCCCATCCTATAGCCAAAATTAAAAATAAAAAAAAAAAAAAATTCCAACTGAACATTTCAATTTTTTTTTTAATAACATTTGCTAACAACCCCATAAAAACAATTCTGTTTTGGGCCCTCTCCACATGACATCAGGCTCATGGATTTCTGGAGCAGGCTCCAGAAGCCGTTTGCAAACTTGTGTTTGCTCTTCAACCCAGGCTGGCGGTGCCGTTTTTAGCAAAAGCAGCCCCAGGTCAGAGTTTCCAGACTCCTCCGTGGGTTTGCTGTGCTCAGAACCCTGGAATTCCATCCCAGCACCTGTGGCCGCCTCTGGAATGTGAATTAATAAGTTTTTGTTCCTAATAAGTTTTTGATTTCTGTATAAATGTTATTTCCTGTATGTATACGTGTGCATGTGTTTTACTTTGATGGTTTTTCATTGTCAGAACAAGACTGGATATTTTACCTTTGTTTACAAGAGAGGGGGAGGAAACAGAGGTTGCAGTTCAGGAGCATGGAAACACGATTTTAGATTTTGGAAAAAATGCAGAGATTGTGTATCTATTACAAACAATTCTTCACCAGTCCTTTTTAAACAAGTCTTTCACTAAGGCAGTTCCATCAATTACCAGGTATTGTTCTAAAGCAAAGCTGAGAGAGAATTCTTTGGTTCTGGTCAAAGGTTTAGAAGCAAGAAGATTAAAAAGTCATTTCAATTAATAATTTGGAGGAAAGTCTATGTTTGTGTATTCACAGCTTCAAAACAGAGGTAACTTCCTAACCGACCCTGCTGGTGATTCTGGAGGGAACAGCGTGGAAAATCTCCTTATCTCTGGATTCCCGTGGCTCTTCCAGGCCCTTCCCGGTGGTTTTTCCCTTTCCTGGTGGGAACACACACGGAGGAGCCTGGAGCAGCCAGGGAGAGCAGCCAGGGAAGGTCCTGAGGTGTTTCCATCACGACCCCAGGCCGTGACGGGACCCAGCGGCGCTTTGGGGTGGGATGATCCTTCCCATGGAAGCACATGGGAGAAGGGAAACGTGAAAATTCCTTGGCAAAGGAATTTCCTCCAAAGGAAATTTGGATTTCATCCAAAGGATGTTCCTCCTGAGCGTCGGTGGGATGAGGGGGAACCTCCCCACACGGAGGGGGAGAGCAGAGTTTAAGGATGCCTCTGTTGGAGGGTGTTGGTGCCATGGTGGAACGGGAATGTTCCCCTCTGGGAATGTGGGAAAATCCGGGAGCCCACAGCCCCCTTGATCTCGCCCCAGGCTCTTTGATGACATTCCTGGGTTCGTTCCCGAGGAACTCCTGACTTCTGGGAAGGCCTCACGAAATTACACTGGGAGCATTCACGGCCTGAGGGCAGCCCTGGCTGGGCTCCTCCTGAAATCCACAGAATTCCGCAAGGAAAACATTCCTTGCCCTTCCTAAAACCATCCCCCAGGACGTGACAAACACAGCTCCTGGCGAGGCAAAACAACTGCAACACCCAAAGCTTTTGGGTTCCCCCGGTTCTGTTTGATTTTTATTCAAGAATAAATGAAAAAGAAGCCTCGTCTCGATGAAAACATCACCGGCTTTTCCTCCAGCTGCGGGAGCATAAATGACTTTTACACTCCTTGTTTTCCAAACTCGGAGTATTTGAAAGGAAAAGATAAGGCCAAGCTGGCAAATTTAACATCAAAAGGGACTGAAAAGGAAAAGTCTTCAGGGATGGAGGGGAGGAAATGGAATTTTCCCGTTTTCTGGATGGTTTTGGGTGAGGGTGTTTGGTGCTGGAGCCCTCCTGGAAGGCCTGGTGTGGCCAAACACACCTTGCAGGTGTTGGGACACTCAGCCAGACCCCAATTATCCATTCCTTCCATTATTTCCTCATTAAGAGCCCAATTAAGATTTCTCCCACAGCAGGAAAGAAGGATTTCCTTGGGAGGATTTCTTTTCTCTGCAGGGAATGTAAATGTGTTATTCCCTTACACCAAAAAGCATGGAAAAAGCCAGGGTGGGACTCCAAAATTCCTGATTTTTAAGTGATTTTTTTTTTCCTTTGAAACCTCAGGTTTAACCCTGGGTGTTCTGCCTGCCCCAAGATTAAAAACCAAACTTAAAAAAAAACAAATAAAAATTAAATCTCAATTCCATACTAAAAACCTGGATCAGCAACAACCTGAGGAGGAATCAGCTGATTTCACCACAGCAAAAACCTGCTGGAAAGTCCACACATTCCCAAATTTCCAAGGGATAACCTGAAAATTCCCCGTTTTCCTCTCTTTTTGGGGAGGATCACCAGCTCCACACAGACATCCCAGCCCCGTGGGAAGCCTGGATTTTCCATTACTCCACAATCACCTCCATCTGCCCAGGAAAGCTGCCAGGAATCCCAACAAACACTTTGGAGCCCATCAAGAGCTCCAAATTTTGTTTTTAAGCTCAGATCCAACAACATCTGCTTTGGAGAAATCCCATTTTTATTTTTTTTATTTTTTGTTCCCCAAGAGCTGTCGATGCCCCTTTGGAAATTGAGGATTTTGAGCTCTGCTCCTTGCAGGGGCAGCTTTAACAGGGAGCAGATCCTCCCAAAGATCTCCTCCAATAAATCCAGAAATTCCAGAGGATTTTCCCTTGGATTTTAGGAAACTCTTGTCTTTTTCCCAGTGAGTTTTAATTTCACATGGTGATTCTGCAGCTAAAAACCTACAAGTTCTGTCCATAAAAAGCATTTTTTTCCCTACATTAATTCCTTGAGTCCAGATCCTGTTTCAGCTCTTTCCAAGGAAAGGGAGTATTAACACGTTTTTGGAGGGAAGGATTTCAAGTTTCCTGTTGAAACACAGAATTTTTAATCCTTAATTTATATATTAAATTCCAATCTATTGGAATTTTTATCTTTTTATTTTTATTTTATTTATTTTTAGTGCCCATTTGGAGCTGGTTTGGAGCACCAAGTTTCATTTCCTGCTTTCCATCTGCTGCTGTTTTCTTTTATTGTCTTTTTATTATCTGTTCTCTTTTATTATCTGTTATCTTTTAATGTCACTCACCATCCTTAATTTCTAAGAACTTTCTTCATTCCAAATCCCTGGATTTTGGCCCAAATCTTCTCCTCCTTTTCCTTCATGGGGTTACATCCTCGTGACTTTTTCTGGGAATATTTCCATACCCACAATTAAACCTGCAGGTAAATCAGAATTAATCAGATTTATCACAATTTGCTGAAGGATAAAAGCAAAAAGAATCATGAGGAAAAACCCTTTTCTGTGAATTTTCTCCACTGGAATCAGAGCTGGGTTTGCATTTCTTGTTGCACTAAAATTTCTGGCACCTCAAAGAAATTCTTACATTTATTTAATAAGGTTTTTTTTGGAGGTGTTTTTAGCTTGTGAAAACATTCTGGGGATTAAAGGGCTTGGTAAAAAAAAAATATAAAAAATAAATAGAAAAATATTAAACTATAAAAAAATATAGAAACAAATAGAAAAATACAATAATGTAAAAATAAAAAATACAGAAATAGAACAGTATAAAAGTACAAATAGTTATATATATTTTTATATAAATATATTTTTATATAAACATATAGAAATATTAAAATGAACACTTAGTGTCCCAGCACTCAATACACTTTTCAATGGGATGTTAAAATGATGCCACAGAAATGTAAGAATGAAGTTGATGAAGTTATAATTTTTAAAAAATAAGGTTTTTTCCCTCCTGTTTTTCTTTTTCCCAGCATTTTTATCCCAATCCCAGCCTGCCCAGACAGGGCTGGAAGTGAAGCTTTGCTGACATTTAGGATGAATCCACTGCAGATCCCTAAAAATCCTCTCTGCATTAATTCCAGTCCAGGGCAATTCAGGACTGGGATTTTTAATTCCACAGGAGCCCACAAAATATTCAGTATTTACTTCAGGGGGTTTTATGGGGCCTTTGTTCCATGCAGGAATTTTATGGGATCTGGGACTTCCTGGCATTTCCATCATCAGCTGTTAATTAGCGACAATTCTCTGGGAATAAACAGAAATATCTCCCCAACCTCCAGAAACCAAAATTCACTGGGAATAAACAAAAATACCTCCCAAAAAACCCACAAAATCCTGCGGGATTTGTTGCTCCAGCAGCTCGGGATGGAACAAAATCCCAGCCAGCTCAACCTCTCCCTGTCCTGACATTCTAAAGGGAAAAACTGAGGGAAAATGAGGAAATTCTGGGGAAAAATAACCCATTTTTAGCTATTTCATTTCTTAGCCCATTACCTGTGAATATTTTTTAGGATTTTATGGGATGGAGGGAGCCGTAGGAACGTTGTGATCCCGGAAATTCCCAAACAAAAGGGAAATGTGTTGCTCTGAGCCCACCTCGAGCTGTTCCTTGGATTCTTTCTTTCTTTCCCAGCTCCTTTAGCTTTCCTTCTGTGTCCCTCTCGTGGTAACTCAGCAGAAATGGCCCAGCTGCACTGGAAAAATTAATTCCCAATTTTTTTTCACCTCCGTGGATTTAAAAAAAAAATATTAATAATAATAAAAATTATTTTATTGGTATTTTGTCAGCATCAGAGATTTCTTTTTTTTATATAATTTTAAAAAATTGTTTAAATTTATTTTTAAAAAACGGATTTTTTTTTGTTGTTCTTTCATTTATTGATATTCAGGTCTGGTGAAATAAGTAAAATTTTAAGGGATTTTCGTTTAGGATTTGTTTTAAGGCAAAGTGGAAGAAAAAGGCAAAAACCAGAGGTAGACAGAGAATGAAGAAAATGGGAGAATTTGGATGTAATTCTTTGTTATAAAAGGCACTGGAACAGATGGGTGTGGATTCCCCATCCCTGGAATTGTCCAAGGACAGCTTGGATGGGGTTGGAACCACCTGGGATAGTGGGAATTGTCCCTGCCCATGGGAACGGATGGGATTCAAGGTCCTTCTAACCCAAACCACCCTAAAATTCCACCCAAAAATGATTTTTAAACCCTCTGAGCTCCAGGAGCATTAAAACAAAATAAAATAAATACATTTTAAATAAATCTTTTTATTTTAATATTTAATATCAATGTTTAACTACAAATCTTTAAATGAATAAATAAAAATTAAATTTAAAAACAGAGCAGAGAAATAAAGTGATTAATTTGCTTAATGAAAGGGGCGCATTTATTGCTGTGGGTGGGAGCTTCCCTCCCCACCTGATCCCTGCTCCACCCTCACATCCCCCTAACCAGAATTGTTTCATCCCAGGATAAAAATATCCCATTTTTCCCCCCGTTTTGGCCAGGCCGGGCTCCATTGGCTGTGCCCCCCTCACGTCACCATTCCAGCCTTATCTCCATGGCTGGGAATTCCTGGAGACCAATCCAATCCCTGCCTTCCCCTCAGAGCCCCGAGAGGAGGAGGAGGAGGAGGAGGAGGATGCCAGCAAATCCCAGAGCTGCAGGGCTTTGGAATTCAAATCAGGTTCAAGGAAAGGCCTCTCCTTATTCCCAGGGCTGGGATTTCTCCCAGCACTTCCAACTGCTCTGGTTTGTCACTCCTCACCAGCACCTGGGGATAATCACCTGCACATTTTCACCTCCTGGAAGCAGAAAACGTCGTTTGAAATATGAATTCACTCGCATTTCTTCTCTTCTTGTGGTTCTGGCCCATGAATTCCAGCTTGTGATCTGCAGGGAAATGGGAAACTCAGCACCGTTTGCAGGGAATTGTGCCAGCTTTTGCCTTTTTCAATTCCATATTGGCTGCACAGTCGAGCCCAGTGAGTCACGGCGCCTTCCCTCTGCAGCAGCCCGGATTTGAGGGAGAAAACTCGCACAAAACACAAATAAAAATCCAGTCTGAGAGCTCTGGAGCCTGGGTGTGGATCCATTTTATCCTTAAAAGTCACCCCTAGAGCTCCCAGCTGCAGTGGAGCAGAATTACCCCGAAATTCAAATGCCTCTGCTCTGTGTTGGTATAAAGAGAATCTCAGCGCCCAGTTCAAACACAGCACCAGTAACAACCAGTTTGGTTTCTCCAGCTGCTTTTCCAGCTCCTTCTGGGGGATCTGCAGCTTCAGCACCTCAGACAGCAGCACCAAAAGTGTCCCCAACGCCACCCTCGGGGACAAATCCACCTCCTGCTGGCACAGGAGGGAGTTTTCCACACTCGTCCATAAAGGCACCGTTATTCCCCGAGTTGTGCACCCGGCAGAGCAGCAGAACTTTGATCCTTTTCCAAGACTTTTGAGGATTCTGTCAAGCAGCCAAATGTTTGGAGTGTGTTGTGTTTATTAATAAATAAAAGTGTTCGCAGCAAGCAGCCACCTGGCTTTGTACTTTTTTTTTCCCTCCCCTCCGGTTCCACTTTCATCCTCAAATGTTATTTCACGCTTTCTCCCCGTTACGCTTTGGTCTGAACAGTTTATTCTATTCAAAAGCTTAAAAATAAGATTAGTTCACTCTCTCTGCAGAAGTGGTGACTCCTGTGTTCTCTGGACTTGTTTTTTTCCCCTCCTTTTGCTGCACAATATTCCCAGGACAAGGATGTTTTCCAATCTCCATCTTTTCACCCCACCAGCTGCAGATCTGGTCCATGTTGTATCAGGTAAGGCTTTATCCTATGCCAAAGCAAGAATATAAAATCAAAGTTATTTATAAGAGAAGATACACATTTGCATCTTAAGGTGGTAGGGAAGAGGGGGTGAATATCCAACCTTTCCCAACACACAGAAGTTCTCTTAAAAGGGAATTTATTGTGAGCTGATGGAATGGAATGAGGGTAAACCCTAAGTTTTTTGTTTATTTAAAGGTAGAAATGTGGTGCTCCCTTCTCTGCACAACCCTGACCTCAGAAAATCCCCAGTCCAGCACGCTCAGAGCAGCTCAGTTCTCACTCAGGGCTATTACAGGTGTAACAAGAATTACAGCTGGAGCAGGTATTACTGTAATTCCCAACCCTTAATTCCCACTTAACCCCCTGTGTCCCTCCTGTCACTTCCAACAGGAACAGGCAGGGCTGGCAGCTCAGGGTGGGCACAGGGCATGGAGTGACCCCATTGTCACCACAGGGTCACCCACCACAGACCCCACTCCCTCACAAATGTCCAGTGCCACCACTTTCCCCTCAAAATGACCTGTCCATCACTCCATCCCCTCACAAATGTCCAGCGCCACCACATCCCCTCAGAGTGACCTGTACATCACCTCCATCCCCTCACAAATGTCCAGTGCCATCACATCCCCTCAGAGTGATCTGTCCATCACTCCATCCCCTCACAAGGGTCCAGTGCCATCACATCCCCTCAGAGTGACCTGTCCATCACTCCATCCCCTCACAAGGGTCCAGAGCCACCACATCTCCCTCAAAATGATCTGTCCATCACTCCATCCCCTCACAAGGGTCCAACGCCATCACATACATTCCAGTGACCTCTCCACAACCTCAGTCCCCAAAGCCCCCGCCCCTCATCTCGATGTCCCATTGGCTGCCACAGCCGTCACTCAGAGCCAGACCCCGCCCATCACGTAACCTCAAAACCCATTGGCTGC